ACTTGTCATATGCTTATATGTACTATTTTTTTCATGGCTTGCCACTGGCATAGAATTATGAAACGAGGCAATCACTTATTTTGATTTTTTTAAAGAATTTATTATTTAATAGAAAAGGGGTTGTACATGTATACAGGCATTTGCTGAACAAAGAGTTAGAGGGTATATCTCATTTTGACCTTGTATAGTGTTATAAACCACAGGAAGTTAGTTGTAAAACTAGGAGTCTTACAGCACCCTGGGGAATGGGAAGTAATAGTTAAATCAAAGGAAGGGAAGGGTAGCTCCAGTTCTTTGAATCAAAAGCCCATCACCAGCATTAAAGTGGCCCCCTTGAAGGCATTTACAGTACTTTCGTAAAAAACTCAATTGCATGTTAGATAACATCGGTTATACTGCTTTGTCATGCCGTGTTAGAGCTAATAAAAAGATAAATTCAGATTTAACCCTTTGACTGTCGCGGCCGTATATGTACGTCTTATGAGGTACCGTGTTTGACGTATATGTACTCATAAATTCTAGCAGCTTCAAATCAAGCAGGAGAAAGCTGGTAGGCCCACATGTGAGAGAATGGGTCTGTGTGGTCAGTGTGCATCATATAAAAAAAAATCCTGGAGCACGCAGTGCATAATGAGAAAAAAAAAACTCGGATCGATTTTTTTAATTAAAATGCCGACTTTGTGGTCTATTTTCGTATAGTATTTATGGTTGTATTCTCGTTTGCTTGGCCTCATTGGATAGAATGGAAAACATATTATTGAAATAGATGTGATTTTGATTGATTTTACTATAAAAAGAACCTAGAAATGGAGCTCAAAGTATGGGAAATGTTTGATTTTTGCCAATGTTCAAAAGTAAACAAATGATGTCATTGTCCAATAAATGTCCAACTAGCCATTCTAATATGCAGTCATGAATGGGTTGATGTTATTTATACAATTATTACAGTATTGCAGTAGTCTGCATAATAGTAAGTCTTCGATTTTTTGTTTGAATAAAAATTCAAAATAGAAAGCAAGAGTAATATCAGAGGGGCCTGGAGACATGACTGATGAGCAAAGAAAATGTTATTTTAGAGCCAGGAATGTCTGCATTGTTCATTCTGGACCTTAGTTTGAAATTGTCATATTTTTTAGTTTTCGTGAAATTGGCCAAATTGCAAATTTATGACCACATTATTAGATAGTTGAAATCGGTAAATGGGCAGTTTCTTGTACTCAATCGATAGAAAAAATGGAGTTCTAAAGAAATAGCTATGAGTTTGGGCGACTGGAACAAAGGAATTAGCCGAAAATAGGGCTCAAAGTGGGCGAAATCGCCGATTTGTAAACAGCGCCGAGGTCGCTAACTTCGCGAGGGCATAATTCCGTCAGTTTTCCATCAAATTTCGTTTTTTTTGGTGTCATTACAATCGGAAAAAGATTCTCTATCATTTCATAAGAAAAAATAATTTTTTTTTTTTTTTTAAATTTTGCGACACCAGGAGACGCCTCAGGATTGGGGGTTGCGACAGTCAAAGGGTTAGTTAAGGTTAGCACAGCGAGTGTGATATATATTAATAGTGAAGGATTGGGAGTAATAGCCAGACTGATGTACACCTTGAGTAGATGCGCACAGTGCAGAAATGTACGTTGAAAATTTTAATGTGCGCTCCATTCTTCTGTTTTATTTTTTTAACTTTAGTATTGTTCAACTTTTAAGTACAGACTATTCCAGGTTTTGATCTCCTTTATTGAAGTCCTTTCTGTACAGATTCTTTAACCCTTTGACTGTCGAAAGGCCCAATCCTGAAGTGTCTCCTGGTGTCTCAAAATATTCGAAAAAAACAAATTTTTTTTTTTATGAAAATGAGATTATTTTTCTGATCGTTTTAATCCAAAAAAAAATTTTTTCCCCATCAGTACTTACCGAGATATAGAGCCGTGAAGTTTGCTGAAATTGATCTGTGAACGGCAACAGCGGTGACTGCCACTCACCCGGTAAACTTTGATTTACTTGTATTCGATGGTTTCTTGTTTTTTTTCACTTTTATTTTTTTCACATAACTTTTGTGGCCTGCGAGACCAAATTATTGTGCAATGTTCAAATATACACTCGTATAGCAAAAAACTCGTATCATTATAATGTTGCTAAAACTTGTTTACAAAAACAATGTAAAAAAATGTTTATTACGATTGTTCTATAATATATATACATATGTACAATCACTGGACACTTTTCTAGAAGTGCTGCAGCTTGTGGAATTCTTTGAAACATTGGTATAAGCAGAATGGTGTCTTACACTCCTCACACACAAAACGAGTGTCTCTGCGTTTTTGTGGGCGTTTTTTGGTATGTCCACAGACAAAACGCCTCTTCTGAGCATTTTTCTTGGCAGTAGTAGCAGGCAGTGGTATGGGGTAGTGATCACCAGGCCTCAGACGAGAGGACATGTGTTAATAATTTCGTGGGCGCTGGTCTATTGCAGGTGTTGTTCCTTGGTACTTGAATATTATTTGTCTGATGACTGACAAACAAAATTCACCATATTTGGGTTTCTTCTTTGTTTTCAACTTATACATATTATAAGCATTCAGCATGGAAATGTCAAGAAGATGAAAAGTTTTATGTACCACTTATAACTCTTGTGAACACAGCAAACCCAATCTGCATGTCACATTTGTCCACTAAGCGCATATTGAGGTTGTAATCGATCACAGTTGCAGTTTTACAATGGGTTGATTGGCCTCTCTATTCTGCTTGCCAGTGTCTACCATTTCGTGTCGGTGAACTGATGTCAGCAGTGTGACATCACGTTTGTCATGCCACCGAAATGCCATGATGTCATTGGCAGCAAACACCTGCACTTCACCTCTACGACTACCAGCATCGAACCTAGGCATATGTTTATGATTTCCACGCACTGTGCCACACACATCTGTCATGTTCACTCGCAAGAAATCACTGAGTATAGGGCTTGTGTACCAGTTGTCAGTATATAAAATATGCCCCTTACCAAGATATGGCTCCATCATTGTTCTAACCACATCACCAGAGATACCCAGTAACTTTCTGGTATCTTCCAATCTTCCAATGTTTTACCGCCAGTGTACACAATTATATCCAAAACCAGACCAGTTTTGCAATCACACAGAACAAATAACTTTATACCAAAGCATTTCCTCTTGCTTGGTATATACTGTTTGAATGAGTCTTCCTTTGAACAAAATCAAAGACTCATCAATAACAAGCTTCCTGAAGGGATAAAAATGCATACAGCACTTTTGTTTCAGGTACATAAACACGTCTGATCTTATATAACCTGTCGCTTCTGTCAGGCCTTGTTTTGTCTGAAAAGTGTAACATACGTAACAGTAACACAAATCTATTCACTGGTATAATGTCACTGAAAGCAGGGGTTGAAATCAGGCGGTTTGTCGCCCAGTATGTGTTGACACTGCTTATACACATGTGGCATAAGCATTATTGTGGCAAAGAACAGATACATCTCTGCCACAGTTGTGTCCTTCCACTTGTGTAGGCGTGATCTTGGTGACAGAATAGTGTTTGCCATGGTGTACTCATAGTATGTATTGCTTTCCCTGACAATAATGTCCATCATGGGTTCATCGAAGAACAATTGAAAGCATTGCAGTTCAGTGGGATTGTTCCCAAGTGTACATGATGGCCGTATTCCACTTTGTCCTCCATCAAAGCCATGGGGATTGGGAACAAACTCGTCATCTTGCTGCCAATCCCATGCGGTCAGCTGGTGGGTTCTGGATATTGTAATGTGGTTGTGGTTGTGCAGGTTGTGGTTGTTGTGGGAGTGTGGGGTCGGGTGAGGCTGGTTGTAGTTGTGCAGAGTCAGCATCGCAGGTAGTAGCGTGGCCCGCTGCTGGTGTCACATGACTCGTGCCACTATCACCACCGCCACCTGCTGCCTCACTTGCATCATTGATACCCATCGTAACAATATCGTCATCTTCACTATCAGGTCGTGGTGTAGGGCCACAGGATGTGCTCTGAGATGTACTCCTTCCTCTTGGAAGAGCATATGGCACACTACCAGACCGCATGCGACGTCGTATATACTGCCGCTTCACTGGGGAATATTCACCCTCGCTGTCACAACTAGAACTGCTTTCAATAACCTTGAAATCACTATCACTTGCACTGCTCACATCTGAGTCTTGTACACGGGCAAATAGTTTCCTCTTTCGTCCTGGTACAGGTGAACATGAACAAACCGGCCCAGCACCAGAGGTGGATGGTTGTGGGTCATCTGGGTTTTCATCACTAATTATGTTATCCTGGGCACTTTTTTCGGTCACACCTGCTTCAAAACCAGGGAATTCACTTTCACTGACACTTTTATCACTGTTTGAGCTATCACTTGGGAATAAAAGACCTCCAATCCGCCGAGGAGTGAGGAACTTCTTACCGCGAGGCATGGTGAAAATGGACTACCAAGATGGCGTTCCCACAATGCACCGCTGAGTCCCAGATTTTTTTCACAGGGTGCACACCCACCACTGAGACCCATTCTCTCTCATGTAGGCCTACCAGCCCTCTCCCGCTTGATTTGAAGCTGCTAGAATTTATGCGTATAGATACATCAAACACGGTATCTCCCATGACGTATATATACGAACGCGACAGTCAAGGGGTTAAACATGAGGATTACCAAAGAGGTATTAATTTCTAGTGTGAGGCCTCTATTGTTCAGTTTCAAATGGTTATAATCTTTTCATCACTTTGTTTTAAGTTTTTTAGTTTTATTTGTTGTGGCTTCTTATTATTGGTATTAGGAAATTACCCTTATCAAATCTGTCGTATCTTTTATAATGTCCTATGTGGTTATCATGTCTCCTCTGTTAGCTAGTGAAAACGTATCTAATGCTTTTAGCCTTTCTTTGCAGTTGATATTTTTTAGCCCCAGGAGCTATTTTGTACCACATCTTCAGACCATTTTTAATGTGGTAATCATACCTTTTAAATTGTTCCTTTGGTTTTTCTAGCTTTATCAAGAGTTTCCTGTAAGCGAGGAGTTATTTCTTGAAGACCTGGAACGAGATAGAGAAGAAGGCGTTTACCTTCATACGTGTCGGTGTGGAGGTCACTACACTCTGGCTGCCCAGGATGCAAGAAATTCAACAGAGAAGGAAGTTGTAGTTGCTTGTGACAATTGTTCTCTAAGTATTTTGGTTTTACTCAATTGTGATGAAAACACTTGATAGAGAAATTAACACGGTGCCTGTTGTGAAGCTTTTTGACCACTTCCTGTCTGATAAAAAAAAAAAACTTAAAATCAAATATGCATTTTTAGGGAAATGAAATGAGTGAGTGATTGATTGTTTTTGAATATTTCTAAAGCTATTTTCAGATTTTTTTCTTTTTTTGGAAATGGATGGCATAAACTTTATTATGGTTAGAATATGCTATTAGTTATACACATTTGTAATGTTTGTTTCTTCAGATCATGATAACATTTAGATGTTGGCTCTGAAGATATGTGACAGCTACATAAAATCACTACTGGAAGCAAAGGAAAGTCATTCATATTTTATTTTGAACTTCACATCCAATTTCCTATGCATTTCTATCAGTTGTCTACAGCTCCTGGGTTATTGGAGTGTATAAAGATTTGTTCATTGTTATTATCATGTAATTTTTAACATGCCCTAATAACATAATCATGAATTTTTTCACACGGAAGATTGCATGAAGTAACAACAACAACAACATAGTACAGTCGTAGTTTGCATAACACACCTGCTCAGTGTTTGTGACTTTCTCATCTTACTGTGATATTTTGTTTTCTGCAAGACTTAAATAGAAATACATTTTGTTTTGTATCTTAGTGAATTATCTCCTATTTGTTCACTATATACCATATAATTTTAAAGGGGAGATGGAAGACTGAAGTAATTATAAAGCCTTGAAACCAATTTTTACATTTTATTTGGTAACTGGTGAGATTCAGTATATGCTAAAAAGATGGAGCGAAGAACTTTAAAGAGTTCTTCAAAGGCAAGTTTGGTAAGAAGTGCTCTTGGGAGAAGAACGAGATCTGTTTTGACATTGATGCCATGGGAAAAAAGACACCAACACTCGATGAAAGACTATTTAAAAAGTCCTCGTAAGAAACTAAGTTTTTCATCACATAGTCCTACAAGGTATTCTGCTACAGGAACTCTGAATATTCAATGTGGCTTTGAAACTATAAATTACAGCCCAAGGAAGTCTCTGCTTGTCAGTGAAAAGAACCAATGCAACTCTCATAACGAAGGAAAAATTGCTAATCTCCAACTGAGTGGTGAATGTAGTGGCAGAGAAATGATTACCACAGGACATGATAAAGTGAGCACAAAACATACACCAGACATTTGTGATGCCAGTTTATGCTCTCAGCATGTCAGTACTAGTGACAAATTGGAGTTAAGTAGAAAATCACTTTCAGTGCCTCAGTATGCGAAGTCTAGTTTAATTTTTACTGATAAAGTGACGTTTCACCATCAGAGTCAACCTTTAGCTCATATTAACAGTGATAAAATTGGCAAAATAGACGACGGTACATCCTGTGCACATGCTTCGTCAAACATGGCTGGGTCACAGAAATACACCAGTAACTGTTCTCAGCAGAATATTAGATTTAATGCTACTAATGACAGAATGGCTAAAAGTCCTAATGGCAAATACTATAATGGTACTCTAAACAAAACCTACACATGTGCAGCTAAGTACAGCCTAGACCAGATATTTACTTTTGACTTTCCACAAGTAAAGAAACCTCTAAAGCAAAGGTTGGTATGATTATGAATTGAGATCTGCTACTGTTTTTATTTCTCGTTCATTTCATTGTAAAATTTAAATTACATGTATACTTTTTATTTCTTTGAAAATTACATTTGTTTTCTACATATTTTTTTTTTTTTTTCTAAATTATTGTGACTTCCATCCAAAATTTAATGTTTGGGTCACTTAATTTGTGTTTCATTATATGGATATTGCACATTGCCATTTTCCAATCTAGAACCAAAAATACTGTTGGAGCTGTATTCGGTATAGAATTTTTCAGTGGATCATATTTGTATCATATAGGATGATATCTATTAAAGAAAGGAATCTGAGTAAATGCTAGATAATAGTATGGTAATTGATATAATTCATGGACAATTATGTGAACATCTTTGTAAAAAAAAAAAAAAAAAGTGCTGATGATAGAATGAATATGTGTATAGGTAAATTTTTGAAAAAGTATATGAATGCTATAAATCGATGGCCCAGATGTTAATTATAGTTAGTCATGCCTTAGTATTTCTGTAACTTTGCTGTCATAGCCTCAAGAAACTCATGTTTGTTCACAAGATATTTAATCTTTTCCTGCAGTCTCTGGTAGGCTGCCACTAGCTAATATTGACACTTTTATTTTGGTCTGTAGTGTATTACTGTTGCTGTACTACATAACCAAGCATATATACTGAATAATTAGCTTCATAGCATTGCATAATAAATCACTCCAGTGCATTGTGTAATGTAGAGACCTGAGGTGTTGTATGTTTTTGTGCATACACTTCCCATTTTATCATGTTATAATAAATGTTTCATTGCTTATTTTTGTGCTATATTTACATAGGTCACAATTCTTTACTTGTGAACATGATTTAATGTTGATCACTTTATTTCCTTCTTGTCCTGATATAGCTATATACTGAGCCCTTTATGGTCAAATTATAATCTTGGCACTTTTAAAGCTTTCTTAAGAATGTTGAATTATGTTTTAAATTTTGCTGCTGTTGTTAACTATGAATGCTAAGTAACAAATAGAGCATCAAAACACAATACTTTTTCTTTCTCAAATAGCCCATATTGTCTGTATCTTGGAAAGTTTTGTACCTTGAAAGAACTCCCTATACTACTTTAATTTGGCAGTGAGGAAAATCTCCAAACCTGAATATGCTCTAATTGGTTAAAAACTTTGATCACTTGAAACAAGACAAAACAGCAGCATGGCATTGTGACTAGTGATGGGAGACATTATTAATTTTCACAGTGAAAAGTTGAAATTTCAGAGGTTATCAGGGTTGTTCACACTGTCAAGTTTGGGGAAGAGTATGGCTTATTGAAAAGATTGTCAAAAGATCAGTACAGGTGAATAAGACTGAAATTTAATTAAATGTGTGGATTGAGCAGAAAACAGAAAACTAGCAAGTTGCTTCACTTAATACCCTTATGATCAGAGGGGAAAACCAAATTGTGCTATAAAATAGTGTGAGCAGGGCAGTTAGCCTATGTAAGTGTTCATTTAGTTCTGGATGGTTTAAGTTTCAAGTGCATAGTCATCTGCATAGTATACAATTTTGTGGGGAAAGTTCATCTGCCTGTCATGATACTGCTGGAAATTTTCCTGTCCAAGTGGAGGAAATTATTTCTGAGAGTAGCTAAGAGCTTGGGCAACTGTTTACATTGGAAGAATTCCCCCCCCCCCCAACAAGTCGGCCGTCTCCCACCGAGGCAGGGTGACCCAAAAAAAGAAAGAAATCCCCAAAAAGAAAATACTTTCATCATCATTCAACACTTTCACCACACTCGCACATTATCACTGCTTTTGCAGAGGTGCTCAGAATACAACAGTTTAGAAACGTATACGTATAAAGATACACAACATATCCCTCCAAACTGCCAATATCCCAAACCCCTCCTTTAAAGTGCAGGCATTGTACTTCCCATTTCCAGGACTCAAGTCCGACTATATGAAAATAACCGGTTTCCCTGAATCCCTTCACTAAATATTACCCTGCTCGCACTCCAACAGATCGTCAGGTCCCAAGTATCATTCGTCTCCATTCACTCCTATCTAACACGCTCATGCACGCTTGCTGGAAGTCCAGGCCCCTTGCCCACAAAACCTCCTTTACCCCCTCTTTCCAACCCTTTCGAGAACGACCCCTACCCCCTCCTTCCTTCCCCTATAGATTTATATGCTTTCCATGTCATTCTACTTCGATCCATTCTCTCTAAATGACCAAACCACCTCAACCCCTCTTCTGCCCTCTGACTAATGCTTTTATTAACTCCACACCTTCTCCTAATTTCCACACTACCGAATTTTCTGCATAATATTTACACCACACGTTGCCCTTAGACAGGACATCTCCACTGCCTCCAACGTCTCCTCGCTGCTGCATTTCCCACCCAACTTCACATCCATATAAGAGTGTTGGTACTACTATACTTTCATACATTCCCTTCTTTGCCTCCATGATAACGTTTTTTGACTCCACATATACCTAAACGCACCACTCACCTTTTTTCCCTCATCAATTCTATGATTAACCTCATCCTTCATAAACTCATCCGCCGACACGTCAACTCCCAAGTATCTGAAAACATTCACTTCTTCCATACTCCTCCTCCCCAATTTGATATCCAATTTTCTTTATCTAAATCATTTGATACCCTCATCACCTTACCTTTCTCTGTTCACTTTCAACTTTCTGCCTTTACACACATTCTCAAACTCATCCACTAACCTTTGCAATTTTTTCTTTAGAATCTCCCATAAGCACAGTATCATCAGCAAAAAGTAACTGTGTCAGTTCCCATTTTGAATTTGATTCCCCATAATTTAATCCCACCCCTCTCCCGAACACCCTAGCATTTACTTCTTTTACAACCCCATCTATAAATATATTAAACAGCCATGGTGACATTACACATCCCTGTCTAAGACCTACTTTTACTGGGAAGTATTCTCCCTCTCTTCTACATACCCTAACCTGAGCCTCACTATCCTCATAAAAGCTCTTTACCGCATTTAGTAACTTACCACCTATTCCATATACTTGCAACATCTGCCACATTGCTCCTCTATCCACTCTATCATATGCCTTTTCTAAATCCATAAATGCAATAAAAACTTCCCTACCTTTATCTAAATACTGTTCACATATATGCTTCAATGTAAACACTTGATCTACACATCCCCTACCCACTCTGAAGCCTCCCTGCTCATCCGCAATCCTACATTCTGTCTTGCCTCTAATTCTTTCAATTATAACCCTACCGTATACTTTTCCTGGTATACTCAAACTTATTCCTCTATAATTTTTACAATCTCTTTTGTCCCCTTTCCCTTTATATAAAGGGACTAGACATGCTCTCTGCCAATCCCTAGGTACCTTCCCCTCTTTCATACATTTATTAAACAAAAGTACCAACCACTCCAACACTATATCCCCCCCCCCTGCTTTTAACATTTCTGTCATGATCCCATCAGTTCCAGCTGCTTTACCCCCTTTCATTCTACGTAATGCCTCACGTACCTCCACCACACTTACATTCTGCTCTTCTTCACTCCTAAAAGATGGTATACCTCCCTGGCCAGTGCATGAAATTACCGCCTCCCTTTCTTCCTCAACATTTAAAAGTTCCTCAAAATATTCTCGCCATCTACCTAATACCTCCCTCTCCCCATCTACTAACTCCCCTACTCTGTTTTTAACTCACAAATCCATACTTTCCCTAGGCTTTCTTAACTTGTTTAACTCACTCCAAAATTTTTTCTTGACAGTGCCTCTCCCACTCTTTCATCTGCTCTCCTTTTGCACTCTCTCACCACTCTCTTCACCTTTCTTTTACTTTCTATATACTCTGCTCTTCTTATAACACTTCTGCTTTGTAAAAACCTCTCATAAGCTACCTTTTTCTCTTTTATCACAGCCTTTACTTCATCATTCCACCAATCACTCCTCTTTCCTCCTTCCCCCACCCTCCTATAACCACAAACTTCTGCCCCACATTCTAATACTGCATTTTTAAAACTATTCCAACCCTCTTCAACCCCCCACTACTCATCTTTGCACTAGCCCACCTTTCTGCCAACAGTCGCTTATATCTTGCCCGAACTTCCTCCTCCCTTAGTTTATACACTTTCACCTCCCTCTTACTTGTTGTTGCCACCTTCCTCTTTTCCCATCTACCTCTTACTCTAACTGTAGCTACAACTAAATAATGATCCGATATATCAGTTGCCCCTCTATTAACATGTACATCCTGGAGCCTACTCATCAACCTTTTATCCACCAATACATAATCTAACAAACTACTTTCATTACGTGCTACATCATACCTTGTATATTTATTTATCCTCTCTTTCATAAAATATGTATTACTTATTACCAAATTTCTTTCTACACATAGCTCAATTAAAGGCTCCCCATTTACATTTACCCCTGGCACCCCAAATTTACCTACTACTCCCTCCATAACATTTTTACCCACTTTAGCATTGAAATCCCCAACCACCATTACTCTCACACTTGATTCAAAACTCCCCACGCATTCACTCAACATTTCCCAGAATCTCTCTCTCTCCTCTACACTTCTCTCTTCTCCAGGTGCATACACGCTTATTATAACCCACTTTTCACATCCAATCTTTATTTTACTCCACATAATCCTTGAATTTATACATTTGTAGTCCCTCTTTTCCTGCCATAGCTTATCCTTCAACATTATTGCTACTCCTTCTTTAGCTCTAACTCTATTTGAAACCCCTGACCTAATCCCATTTATTCCTCTCCATTGAAACTCTCCCACCCCCTTCAGCTTTGTTTCACTTAAAGCCAGGACATCAGTTTCTTCTCATTCATAACATCCACATCATCTCTTATCATTTGCACAACATCCACGCACATTCAGACTTCCCACTTTGACAGTTTTCTTCTTATTCTTTTTAGTAATCTTTACAGGAAAAGGGGTTACTAGCCCATTGTTCCCGGCATTTTAGTTGACTTTTACAACACGCATGGCTTACGGAGGAAAGATTCTTATTCCACTTCCCCATGGATATAAAAGGAAAAGTAATAAGACCTAAGAACTATTAAGATAAAATCAAAGAAAACTCAGATGAGTGTGTATAAATAAACATGTACATGTATGTGTAGTGTGACCTAAGTGTAAGTAGAAGTAGCAAGACATGCCTGTAATCTTGCATATTTATGAAATATTTAGAAAATGCCATCTAGAATTTGCATAACCAAGCACTTGGCTTCAAGGCAGCAGAGGATTGCTTCAGCTTGATTCTTTAAGTGAAAGCCAATGCTTTTGTCCAGAGTCCTCAAGCTTTAAAAGTAAAGATAAAAATTTTTTGGTATTTGGCAGTCTAAACAAGACAGCATGCATGAATAATGCCTTGTTTAACTGGTTCAAATATTTTATTCCTTTAGTCAAGATGTGCTTGGCAAGAATCTTTCATTCAAGGGATTCCTCTT